AGAAATAGGAATCGTTCAAGAAGTCAAAATGGATGTATCTGGTTTTGTCTGATTGCTCCTCAACTAACAAAAAAAAAATGAAAATTTTAAACGTTGACATTTATGTGTGTTCTAACCCGGCGTTAACCATACCAAATTCACCGATTTGTTAATTGTATGTTGATCACTTAATTAAATTTTAATCAATGTTCATACAACTTGAAAGTTTGCTTAATCATTACATAATTATTATCAAGAGTTAACCAGCTGTTTACCAACTGTTATACAACTGGGCCCAAAAATCATTAAAAAATTCCAATTGCATATTTTAAAGTTTAAAATGTCTATAGCGCCCCAGGAGGCATTTTCGGACATCTGTTTATAGCAACTTTTTGTTTTACTTTTACTTGTAGAATCAGACACCCTGTAGAGACAAACTTTATGAAATAATATTTACTAAAAAAATATATATTATATATTTTTTTAGTATAATTAGTACCCATAGCTACACAACCAATGATATTCGGTTAAAGTAGTTAAAAATATACAGGGTGTTATGTAATTAATGTTATATATTAAAATGGGTTGTTCCTTAGGGTCCATAAAGAAGCACCTGAAACTTTTTTTTCTAAATTCCAAAGACTAAAAATAATTTATAATAACCTTTATCCTACCAAAAAGTACCCCACTGATCGACTAGGAACTTTAAGCTAACCTTGTTGCCTAATTTAATTTATTATGTTATGGTTGGTAAGAACAGCGTTTCCAAATTCTGTCAAAAAAATGCCAAGCATTGTTTAAATTTAGCTTAATTACAAAAATGACAAAATCAACAATGCAAATTGTCAATTTGGCGTTTTTATTAATTGTTGGTTATGTCATTTTTGTACTGAACGTAAATTCAAACAAAATCTCCCAACTTTTATGACAGAATCTAGTGCATTTCTTTCAAATTTTAGGTTATGTGCTCAAATTGTAAATATCTTAACTAAGGGAAGTGCTTTTGGATTTATTTACACAAATTAAATGTTTAAAGTTTAACCTGTGAACTGGTCCCAAGTTTATCTGAGTAAACAGAAAGAAAAAAACCGATGAAATAGTATATTACACTACAAGGGCAGAAAGTGTGAGATTCCTGCATGGCGCGCAGTTCAGGGCTCACACTTTCTGCCCGTGTAGTGTATACTATTTTTCTTACTACCTCGGCCGAAAATACAACCCGGCCTAAAATACGGGAAAAAATTAAATGTGTATCGAAACATGTTGATGCCTGCCCAAATTTTGAGGTTATACACACGACTAAAAAATTTTTACTCCCGCTATTATAGAGTGTGCGCGTATAGCTTGACCAATGCAAGAAACGTAAACTTTCTGCCGTGAAATCGGGGACGAAACAACGTATTTTCAGTCGAGGTAGTAAGAAAAAATTATTTTGTGGTTATGGATTTTTTAAAATAGGTATTAAATTTGCTTAAGCTAATAGCTGGATGAGTAAATAAATACAGAAGGGTATTAGAGTTTTAAGGGCATAAAACTTTTGTAATTATTAAGTTTTTATTTTTTTTTGCAAGAAAAATTTTTAGTAACAATTTTTTACATCTGGCAACGCGCAGCTACTTTGTTGGTTGGTATCTATGTACTCACAGAACACAAGTGCGCAGAGATAAGCCAAGAGTGTAACCAGTGGCGTATCACAAAAAATATAAAAAAACATCTAATGCATATTTTTTTCTTTATCTTTGGAAAAATATATTTTTAATTATTTTTCCTTTACTCATTATGTCAAAAGGTATTCAGTATTTTAATATATAACATTAATTACATAACACCCTGTATACAAGGGGGGTCGCGTTGTGACAAGATGAACTTTTTTACATAAAAATCATTTTATTTAATATCGTAGCTTGAAATTACAGAAAGGCAATAGACAAAAAAGTTTGTTTTAAATTATAAGTCCTGTCCTACCCTAATTGAGAAGTCTCGGATCATAGTTTCAATATAACCTCTTTATTTCTTCTTCTTTATCAATCTGAATACAGAGCACTATGCTTAGGGATATTGGCTTTTAGCTTTTTTTATTTACGTTAGTTTGGCATAAAATGTTTGGTTAGGTTATTGGTCATTTGCACATATCTAAACATACCTTTCTTGAAATTTTGGATACATTTGCCCAAGAGTAAGCATGGCCAACAATACATTTTATTTTTATGACTACACCCGCAGAGCCATTTACAATTGTCATAGATTTTTTTTTAATTAAAATATCGAAAAGTTGTCTTTTATTGCTGTACGATTTTTAAAAGTCCGGGTAAATCCATCAATATTAATACCATTTTGTTTTTCGGTAAATTTCATACTTGTAAAGGGCTTACTGGGCTTATGTAAGTCACCAACGGTTGTCTTGCTGGGTTTCTTACAAAAATGCATTTGAACCAAACCCTGCAATGATGTAGCCTGTACTTGCTTTCTAACTACTAAAGCATAATGGCTATCAGAATATTAATTAAACTGAGCACAGTTTGGCAACGGTGAATCCAGTGGAATTCACTTATTGTTTGTCGTCTCGTCTCTTTTCTTTTTATGTATCGTTTCATTTGGCCGTCCTTGTCTAAGCACTGCATTTTGCTTGCATAGTAAATCCAGTATAGACGGTATAAATGCATGCCTTTAATTTGTTATGGGATGCTTTTTAATGTAGCAGATTACGGTAGGTCGGACTTGGCGTAATTAATGAGACTGGGATGTTTTTCTATGATAGAATTAATATTTTAATTGTCAATTAAGATAAAGTTTTTAAATTTTTATCATCCTTTTTAATAAAATTATAAGTTATATTAGGTATTAAATTAAAATTAAAATGGAAAAATATAAAAAATGTCAAAACGCAATGCATTTGTGCTTTTATTTTATACACGATACATAAACACCAGTATGCTGATGCGCATGTTATAGCTAACTCTCTCGCACCGTGTGACGTCATGTGCGAACCAAAAGCTGGCGGGTAACTGGGTTGAAATGTTATTTTTGCAGTGCAAATTTACGTTATATTAAAAAATTTATAAATAAAGATACGGCCTGGGTGCAATTATTAAGTGTAAAAAATGTTAAGAGAAATTTAAAGCGCTTTTAATACTATGTAAGCTATTTTAAGCAACAATTAATTTCCTTCCTTCCTAATAGCAGTTTTTCAAACTATTTTTTATTTAATTGAATTAACTTAACTTACGCTGGACCGCATTTTACATATTTTTAATATAAAAGGAAACAAAATTATAAAAATGCATTTAAATTTAAATTCATATTTAATTAAAGTGTCAAAAGTAAAAAAAAACTGCTTTTTTACTTGTGACACTTTTGAAGCGGGATTTTGATACAATTATGTTTTCATTTTTATTATTAAGCCCGTTTCATATAGATGCGAAATGCGATTTGTGAAATAGGAATATTCTCATTTCGCAACTCCTATTTCATATAGATGCGAACTATGCGACTTAAGTATGCAAGCTGTAAAAAATATGTGGTTAGGTGGAAAAGTCACTATAGTGACTTATATATAAGAACAGAAAACACCAAAAGTGGTCTATATAGGTCCACACTAGAAATGGTATATTTAACCACATACAATTTGGTAAATTTTCGTCCATTTCAAGCGGATGGACGGGACAAATCACAAAACTAAACTAAAAAAATTGTAGGTAATTTATTATATATTATTTTTGCATCAAAATTGTCAAATATATTCTTCTATTATTAGGCTATACCTACATTAAATAAAAAAAATCGGAAGAAATATTTTATAAAAGTAGAGATAATTTCAATAATTGACAGGGGTGGACGGGACAAGATAAATCTTTTTTTTGTCCCGTCCACACCTTTCAATTATTAAAATTATATCTACTTTCATAAAATATTTCTTGCGTTTTTTTTTATTTATTGTATAACCTAATAAAAGAAGAATATTTTGGACAATTTTGATGCCAAAATATTATATAATAAATAATCTACAATTTTTTTTATAAAAACAGTTTTGTAATTCGCGCGCTTAAAATGGCCGTTTTACCCTTTTTAATTGGTTAAAAATCTACACGTACTATTCGTACAAAAAACTCGTAACAGTGTAAAAATCATCAAATGGTGGGTGTTTAAAAATTAAACACAGCATGTAATGTAAAATAAAGTATATTTTATATTACTTACAAACTATTAGATATTAATACAAATGGGCTTTGACATAAAATTTAAAAAAAAAATGATTAACACTACTTAGGTATAAGTATTCTTATACCCAAGAAGTGTTAATAATTTTTTTAATTGAATGAAAAGTAGTAATATGATTTTTCACTAGCTCAAAAAACTTAAAATATTACTAAATTTCATATTTCACTTACAAATCACAGGTAAAAAAAACTGTTATATAACAAACATGAGTTGCATCCTCTGTCACATTGCACCACTTCACCGAATTTTAATTTAAAAGCCATGGTCTTAAAATAGCATGCATAGGTACACTACCATCAACTGCACTCGGAATACTGATCGCGCCCTTGCCGTTAGCGAATGGTGATGACTACGTGACTTTTTTTTACCACAATTTGTGTAGATGTCAAGTTTATCTATAAATTAACACTAGATTGACATGGGGCTGTGTTAAATGAATTTAAATTTACACGAATGAATTTTACCACAATTTATAATAAACACTTAATATTTTTGACCAATTTTAGTGTATAAATTAACACCAAATGATTTTACCACTCCATTTGGTAACTTTACACCGAAATATTTTGGTTACTGTTATATTTTCTTCGTGTGATGTTGGTAATTGTTACTAAAGAGATTATTTTCGTTTTCAGCACAAACACGGCAAAAGTTCCGGCTTCGGCGGCCATCACCAACGGTCTCAGAGCTTGAACCGCGGCGTGCGCGGCCAGTGGGGCAGCGGGCGGGGCGGCGACTTCGCGGGCGGCACTTCGGGCGACATGTGGTGACAGAAGGAGCAGTGCCGGTGTCCCGCAGCGGCGATGGGCAACAAGCTAAGTTGCTCCTGCGCCCCCCTCATACGCAAGGCCTACCGCTACGAGGACTCGCCGTGGCAGACCAGCAGGCGTCGCGACGGACATCTCCTCAGGTACTACTCACTCTTATTTATAGTACCTATCTAACTGGAAACAGACAACTTATATTCCTATTCTTATAATAATACTAGTCAAAACAGTTTTTAAGATATAGGGGTAATTTACCTGAAACTGTAACAAAATTTATCATGTGTCAAAAACGTTCAGGAGGTGAGAAATCAATTTGCGAACTGGTGCTCTAAGAACAAAGACTTATACTTAATGAAGGTAAAACTGAATACGTCTATTTTCCCCCCATTAAAAATAATATTAACTTAAACTTTAACTTGAATCTAAAAGGATCCTGGATGCTCAGCTTCGTTGGGAAGATCATATTGACTCTGTTTGCAAAAAAAGATCAGTAGTTCAATGTTTGCACTAAGATCACTTTCTCGTAATTTATCAAGGCAAGCTCTATTAAATACTTACTATGGTCTTATTTATCCTACTTTATCTTATAACATAATACTATGGGGTAGAGCATCGACAGTAGGTAAATTCTCATATAACTTGTTTCGAGGCTGTATCCACTTATTTTTATGAAAACTAATTCTCGCTCAAGGTTTTTTTTAGTGTAATGAGCATGTAGCATTTTAAGGTAATGGGAACTTAAATTATGACAACCCTAATCTATTAATTTTTTCCTAAAATGCAGGCTTTATGTTGCAAATGTCACGTAAGTTACCGGTCACCAACTGCAATATCCTAATATTGATGAATATTCTAACAAAATGGCTGTTGAAACAACTAATGTTAGTGCTTGATTAACTAAAAATAGACTTAAGATTGACAAAAAATTATTTTATCCGAAATCGGCAGTAAAGTAGTCAACAATCGTAAATTAAAATAAATCGGCAGTAAAGTTCTACTTTACTGCCGATTTCGGATAAAATAATTTTTTGTCAATCTTAAGTCTATTTTTAGTTAATCAAGCACTAACATTAGTTGTTTCAACGGCCATTTTGTTGAAATATTCATCGATGTTAGGATATTGCAGTTGGTGACTGGTAACTTACGTGACATTTGCAACATAAAGCCTGCATTTTAGGAAAAAATTAATAGATTAGGGTTGTCATAATTTAACCTTCCGGCGGGCGCAACCGATCTAAGAGATACACCAGTTAAAATATTGCACCCGGACGCACTGTTTTTATAGGCATAACTACCCTCCCTTCAGTAGCTTCATATTTTTAGGACTTCTACCGATATGTTTACTGCAGTTTGTGTTTGATCGCCTTGTAAGGTGACGGCAGGCATTTTGATCTGCTAGATACAGTGCGCCCGATTGCGTTATACTGCAGTATTACATGTAATATTTACAAAATTTTAACTTTTTATGAACGAAAGTATTGATTTATAACTTTTTGTATGCATTTTTACCTAAATTTATAATATGATAGTTCAGCAAGAAGAAGAACAACCACCTCAAAACGAAGATGTTTACCATGTACTTCAGAATCGGGTATTAGACGGCTTTCTAAATAAAGTGCAAAAAATTAGTTATATTTGCGCATTTTATTTATGTATAGTATTTAATAAGTTAGTATATAGTATTATAAAAAGTAGTGTTAATTATTTATTTGATAAAAAATATAAAAAAGCACTTTACTAAGCCTATCTGAAAATTGAATCTGTCAGATCACTGCGCCCGAACTCGTGCACAAAAGACGTGCGCCCGCCGGAAGGTTAAGTTCCCATTACCTTGAAATGCTACATGGTTATTACACTAAAAAAAACCTTGAGCGAGAATTAGTTTTCACAAAAATAAGTGGATACAGCATCGGAACAAGTTATATGAGAATTGACCAGTAAACCGAGTATTCGTACTACAAAAAAGAGCTATCAGAATTATTTTTAACCTTGACTCCATGAAATCATGTAAGGATGTATTTGTAAATAATAATATTCTTACAGTTTATGGTATGTATATAGTTATGTAACAATGATTATAACAAATATAACAACAATTATAACAAATATAAGACAAGAAATGCCTTATGCCTAAGTGTTCCGAGACGCCTTATTACTCTGGAATAAAAGCCCACAATAGCTTATCATGTAAAATAAAAACAAATTCAAATACTAACAAATTTAATAAGGAACTAAATGTCCATACGGGCCTGACGATTTATTTGAATTAAACTAGTTTTTTGTTTTTTTTTTCTGATTTTTTGATTGTTTCTATACTTTTAATTTTGTTTTGTACAATCTTGTGCTTTTTGTAATGTTTATACATTATGTGTTTGACCTGCCCTATAAAAACCTACTATTATATTTCGTTTGGATCAATAAAGATTATTATTATTATTATGAACGAAGAATTAAAAAAATTTTGAACTTGACGTAGTGATAAATTCGTAGCATTGCTAAGTGTTGGTAGGAAAAAAATGAGAAAAAATCCGGATCTTAATAATTTAAATTTGGCAGTAAAAATTAATTGGGTAGATCATGCACGAAACCGTGGTTTAATAGTATGTTAAATTGTATTATCCAAACTAATAATATATTATACAGTGTGTCCGTAAAGTCCCGGAACATGTGATTATTTTGAAAACGGTATTTTTTTAAAAAAAACGCTGAAACACGTCAACTTTGGTATTTTTCTAGCAATATTTTGGCATATGTAGTTGTTCCAAATTCTGCCGCGTGGCGGCGCCACAATCAAAGTCAGTTTTTTTTAAATAGCAACCCTTTATTTTTGTTGCATTTTCGGATAGCTACCGTCGTCCTGAGTACATTGATATGCTACATGTGGAGGGTTACATAAGAAAATTTTTGAGAAAAGTAGGTTTTTGCCGCTGATTAAGATTTTGGTTTTGACGAACTTATTCGCTGTTACGGGGCACTATGCATTGCTAGTAAGGGATTATTTAAATCAGGTCTTTCCCAATCGCTGGATAGGTCAAAGGGGTCAAATTGAGTGGCCAGCGCGATCGCCCGATTTGAACCCTTTAGACTTCTTTTTATGGGGACCTCCTAAAAACCGCGTCTATGTAAACAGGCCTTAAAATTTGGACGACCTAAGACACCGCATTCAAGCCGAGATCCAGATGATCACTCCAGCGGTACTGGCAAACGTACAACGCTCGTTTGTAGACAGGCTGTTCCATTTCCAAATAGTTTACGGTGGACACTTTGAGCAACTGCTCTGATTGGCTTTCCAAAAACATTAAGCAACGCATAGATTGTGTAAGTTTGACAAAATACCAAAATCTCATTCGGCAGCAAAAACCTGATTTTCTCAAAAATTTTCTTATGTAACCCCCCAGATGTGGCACATCAATGTAATCAGGACAACGGTAACTATCCAAAAATGCAACAAAAATAAAGGGTTGCAATTTAAAAAAAACTGACTTTGATTGTGGCGCCGCCACGCGGCAGAATTTGGAACAACTACATATGCTAAAATATTGCTAGAAAAATATCAAAGTTGGCGTGTTTCAGCGTTTTTTAAAAAAATTAGCGTTTTCAAAATAATCACATGTTCCGGGACTTTACGGACACACTGTATATACAAATATTAATTTTTTAAACTTAAATCATTAAATATTCTTAAATATGTGATTGATGAGAAAATAAAATGAATGCTAGTCAAATCGCTTGTTTATCCTAAAATTTATTACTGTAGCTCTGTTTAATACTATAACTTATACATATATGTATATGTACATAGATCTTAAATAGACTAAATCAAGTGAATGTATTTCAAATTACAAATTTCTTATTTTCAACTTTTTTGCATAAACTTATAAGAACGAAACAACCGTACATTTACGTGATTTATTAAAACTACGAAGTTCAGTACATATGGTAAACATTTGCAAATAATCTTATAAATGACAATCATACAGTGGCGGCCCGTAACATTTCATTTTCGTGAGGCATAGGCAGGGTTTCGCCCTCATTTAAAGGCGAAGAAATTTTTTTAAACCCAATTTAAAAAAACTGACGTCGCAGTTCACAACCTATACTTAAAACTAAGACTGTTGTGAGGAAGGAATCCTCTACTTGGTCAATGAAATATATTTTATTGTAAAAATGACGTTTATTTTAAATAAACCTCATTTTTGTCTAATTATTATTTCATTGTTTAGCAAGAACCACATAAAGGTGTAGAGGTAAAGTGCAGCATTATTAATATAATCAGTAGGTTTAAGCCATAGATGACCGAAGCCCTAATCATTAAATTAATAATATAGTAAATTTAAAAGTAAACTACGTACACGTCATCAATAAAACAAAAATTTTACGCATTGGTACCAACACTAAATGACTAAATCGAAGTCTGTAATTGAATATTTGAATGCATTTTAAACATCTTCAGTTGGCAACAATTAAGATGTTGTCATATTTACATTCAAATATTTCATATTTAAATGACACATAAAAAAGAATTTGACGTTTTAGAATTTCGAAGCTGTCAGTTGTGTTTTTGAATATTTCGTTTAATTCGTGTATTATTTCGTTTATTTTGTTTGTTGTTTGTGTTATATTATATCGTTTAAGTTTTCATTGCCGTTTTTGTGTTTGTTATATATCGTTTTTTTGTGTTTCCTATATTTAAAATGCCGAAGCATTTAAATAGTCGGAGTCAAGAGTTGGTGTCATCCTTATTAAGGATTCCTTAATACGCTATTTTGAGGCAGAACGGGATAATAATGGACCTTTGTTACCTTTAACAGCTGTTAGAGAGGTAAATAGGATTATTATTAATTATATATTAAACTATTTAACAAAATATATGTTGGATACATAAAATAATAATATATATACCAGAGACTGACTTTAGATGGCAAAATTTTTGGGTTTTATATCAGAAAATGTCTTTAAAAATGGCTAAAAACATACTTTTGGCGGTGCATCATATAGGTTATAAGAACTCAGACTTTTGACATTTTGGTATTATTCATGTAAACGCCATCTATCGCCCTGTAGTTGGACTACCAAGGATTTTAGCATCACATTGACAACCGTGCCCGATCAGCTGATTGATGACGTGTACGTAGTTTACTTT